TGGTCTTTTTGATAATCAGCAATAGAATTAAAGTCCCCTATAATACAAATATTTCTTTTTTCCAATCCTACTATTTTTCCATAAAGATGCTTAAAAAACTGTTTTTGATCCCCATTCGGGGCATAGATTACCACTAAGACAATTGGGATGGCATTAATCCAGATCTTCAAAACCAGAGTTCTTCCCTCAGGATCCGACCATATTAAATCTGCTTTCATATCTTCTTTAACATACACTGCAATCCCTTTCTTTTTCCCCGCATCTGCTGATGCAGTGAATAGCTTCCCTAATTTCCGATGGTAAGGCAAGGACGTGCAGAAGCCCATCCGTGGTTTCAGTTAATCTCTTTTTGCAGTTGGTGCGATCCTTTGAGTGTGCACGAGTCCTGGAGAGATTCATGCCGGTGTGTGGGGAGACTCGAGCTGCAATGTGGGGAAGGCAACCCCCCTGCAGCAAAGAGGAGCCCTTCAGAGCCCAACAAGCAAGAAACAGCTGCCTATCAATGGCAGCTCCAAAGTCTGGACTGCCACCAATGTAAAGAAGTGAGTGAGTGACAGTTTGTGGGATCATTGGTGAAGAGTGTGGCAGAGAAAATTAGCGGTGGAGAGGATGATTGGAATGCTATAGACTTTTATAAGGCTGCTACAAGTGTCTTTCCAGAGCCCTAAAAGGAAGCAGCCAAAAAGCAGATGCAAGGCAAGTGAAAGTGAAGGGGCTTGGCAGACAAAGAAAGATAGAGGACAATAATGAGTAAAAAGGGAAGCTTACAAGGTTGGGAGATATACCACACTGATATTAGAAGGGAATCTAATGGCTTGAAGGTGACTGGAAGGTGTGGGGGATTTGGACTATTTCATTCGATTTTTATGCTGAAAGACTTTATTAAATCGGAGACGGGAAGAAGATCAGAGCCAGTGGAATAGAGACAGGGCGGCGCCACAGGCGATACTTAGAAATCCTGAAGTTATTGTAACAATATAACTGATGTAACCACTTAACTGCCCTTCAGGGAGTATACTGATTTAACTGAAGAGATGGTTCCATTTGAAGAAAATCAGGAAAATTGAACTAAGGAACGCTAAGATGAAAAGTAAAAGTGGAAGCTTCTGAATGTGTGGAGATACTGTGTAATTAGAGTCACTACTTAGCATTTCTTACCTGCTCACTTCCAGTGTGTTTGGAGTGTAAGCTCTTAAAACTTAGAAACGGAAAGCTAAAAACTTACTTTAAAACTCCTCCCCCCCGCTTCTTTACTCCCTTTTTCCTGTATACATCTGCTCATTTTTCTTTATTCCCCCACCCTCCGGCACTATCATGATCTATCTCTCCTTTTTAAATCTCTCTTTATAATGTTTAAAATATATATACTGGGGAAAGGAAAATTGATTGTTGTAATTGATTGTTAAATAATTGAATTAACTGATTTAATTGATTTATTAATAATAGGGATAATTATACTTTGATCCCAGCCTGCCTAAAATCAAATGAATGCCTCCCTCTGGCACTCAGGGACACAATGGCTGCATTCACATAACCTGCTTGCTGATTTTAACCCATTTTTGCTGTTTTAATCGATTTTTGCTGTTTGGTGGCTTCCAGGAGCGGGAGATCTCGGGGAGGTGCCGCGATCCTGGAGATTACAAGAGAATCCCCCGAAAACCAGCAGCAGAAGGGGGAGATCGTACAGATTGGAACCATAGATGTGGCAGCCCAGCAACTTAAAGAAGAAGGAAGGAAGCAAAGAGTGGAAAACAGCAAATTGAGTAGTGGAAAGATGAACTTAAAGAAGATTTCCAGAATACTGATTTATACTACAAAGGGAAATTGAAAATTGAAACTCCAAACCGAACAGTGCAGCGAAGCGGCAGAAATATTGGAAGGAGTACTAACTAAAGAAACGGCAGTAATTTGTGCTGATTAATGCAACTCTGAAAACGGAGGAGCTGAAGGGTGAGACAACACCGTTTACTTTTACTTTTGGAGTTGAAATGGGGGTTGTATAACTATATTTTCTGGCGATTGACGTTTGAGAACTGTGGGAAGAAAGAGAAAGTGACAGTGACGTGTCCAAGTGAGACAGAGAGATCGGAAGAACAGCTGAGAGTAAAAACTTGAAAAGAGAACAATTGACACTTTAAAAGATTTAAGGAAAGGATTGAGGAAAGAAACCTTATAATTGCAATGTTTGTCTGATAACTGAATGCTCAATACAAATCTGAGTCTACACAGTAAAAATATAAACTGTTAGAATTACCAGTGCAAGACGTGCCTCTTTCTCTTAAAAGCAACAAACTTTGAAAGTGTATTCAGTTAACTAGGAGGGACCCAGAAATCTCATTCATCAAGGGAAAACATAAACAAACAGTTTCCTGTGAGCTGTTCAATTTGTCTCTGCTGAATCAAAGTCTGCTTGCAAAAAAAGGAGAGAAGATTAGTTGGTTTCCTCTGTTCTTAGAAGTGAAGCCCTTTCCTTCACTCGGATAAAAACCCTTTGAACATTGTGTTACAACTTCCTGTTTACAGAGTAATAGCAATCTGCTATTCAAAGAGCAATAAATTCCTCTCATTCAGTCAACTCCAGCTGCTAGTAAAACAATTAACCCATTCCTTGCAGACTCTTAATACTACCTCATTACTTTAATCAAACACTGATTAATTCACTACATCAAAACTTTCAACTTTTCTACCTCAGCACCTATATCAACGATTAGATAATCAATTTCTATAAAATATTTTATTAATGGTTTAATTGATTTATTGTTTTAATTGATTAGTGTGATTAGAGTGTTTAGTACAAATAATGTGATTACTGACTAGTTTAAAAGATCAAAATTCATGTAATTTAATTGAATAGTAAAATCAATGATTTAGTGAATTTAAATGAACAGTGTGATTAATGACTAATGTAATTAATTGATTAGTGATTAGAGTAATTAATTGATCAGGCTGACTGTTGCTCAGGAATATTATCCGACTAGAGAGATTACTGCAATGGATTGATTGGTGTGATATTGGCTATATAGATTACCCAAAATTGTTCCTTTAATTAATTCAATCAACGTAC